TTTTTTCCACCTTCCGTTATGCGTGATGGAAAATTCGCGGAAGCAAAATGGAATCGGCGGACGAATAGCCGGCAGCAGCCACCCTTGTAAGGAAACCGCACACGGCTCAAGTTTTACAAAGTAGTAGCGCTACATCCCTGTCCTGGAATTGAAGTTACCATGGTAGAGGGCCTGTCCACGGGGCACTTATCTCATTAAGGGGGCGCAAGCGCGTAAGGCTGCGTTTATACTTTGCGGCAGCGTAGCGTAGCGCTTCCAGCGTACGCCAGCGGCAGTGCCGAAGAGAGGATGCATATCGATCTAGCTTCACCAGCGTCACCAGCGGCACGCTGGCGTACGCTAGCGTACGCCAGCGTTTCTCCAGCGTTTCACCAGCGTTTTGCTAGCGCTTGCAGCGGCAGGGGAGTAGAGACTATGTGGCCGTGAGAGAAGCGGAATCGACGTGTATTGTAGAGACCATGTGGCCGTCGGAGACGGACGCAGAAAGCGATGTGCATTGTAGAGACTATGTGGCGTCGGAGACGCAGAAGCAATGTGCATCGTAGAGACTATGGGGCCGTCGGAGACGCAGAAGCGATGTGCATTGTAGAGACTAAGGGCGAGTGGGAGACGCGCAATCGATGAGTTTTGTACCCTCCAGCTCTCCCATAGTCTCTACTCCCCTGCCGCTGCAAGCGCTAGCAAAACGCTGGTGAAACGCTGGAGAAACGCTGGAGAAACGCTGGCGTACGCTAGCGTGCCGCTAGCGTACGCCAGCGTGCCGCTGGTGACGCTGGTGAAGCTAGATCGATATGCATCCTCTCTTCGGCACTGCCGCTGGCGTACGCTGGAAGCGCTACGCTACGCTGCGCTACGCTACGCTACGCTGCGCAAAGTATAAACGCAGCCTTAAGACTGCACGAGATGGGTCGGAAGACGGCAATAACATAAGGCTCTTTGCCACGCTTTCTCAAGCGGCAAGCACACATTTTTTCCCATAGCGGCCGCGTCTTACGCAGCATGCGAAGGAAGGATCATAACACTTTTACAAAAAAACGTCTACTATGCAAAAAACTTACTCGTCACTCTCTTCACATCGTATTCTTCTATAGGCTTTGCCTTAAGTTGCCCAGCCCTCCCGTCCATATTTGTCCTCCTGCAGCCAAGCCTCTCGGCCTCCGAAATCACGAAGATATATTAGTATTATTTGCTATGGAACCACCTGGAGGTCTGAAACATTCTGCTGCTGAATTCAGGACTAACCAGCAGAACCGAAAAAAAGAGAGACTGAAAGAAAGCAACATACGTGAACGATTTCGCTATCACCATCAAATCTTCACAATGAACGAGGTTCCAGTCCAGGTTACAAGCGGCAATTCGCCTTGAAGACCATTCCACTTGTTCGGCATCCCTGGACAGTTCCAATTATTTCAAAGAGGGATACGGAGAACTGCCGAGCAAAAATGCACATACTGATCCAGATGAGCCAACATTCGATTTCTAATTGAATATCCTCGTTGGCTTCCCAGTCGGAATCCGAATCCTCATCAGATGACGACTCCACGTTGCCTTCACCACGAGCAAGATCTAGCTGGAAAGCCAAGCAGAAGACTGAATATAACCGAGGACAAAAGCATCGTCATTTACCTTAATAGGTCGATCATTGTTATTATCCTCTCCTTCACTTTCTTGATGCTCTTCTTGTGCATCGGAGATGTCCTCGTCTTTTCCTTTCTTTGCCGGTGACACACTCGTTTCCCTCATCGTCATCGCTTTCTTCGAGCTCATACAAGTCCACAAGATTACCTGCGAAAACGTGCTCAAGAAACAATTTTTTGAAGAACCATATATGCACTTACGCCTTTATTTTAAGAGGGCGGCCGCTGTATCACTCGCTTTCTCGTAGAGAATTTCTGATCTGTCAAAGCGCGGCAGCGAAATCGTTTTCCAATGGTGACCTAAGACCATCTATAGGCTTCTAGTTGATTAGATCACGCTGTCAAGAGTAACGCCTCCACACGTGGAGTGCGCTTCGATTAATTCGCGATTTGGTCAGTATGATCGCGGACAGCAAGCTACTGGCGCCTAGGAGGGCGACCAAATCGCAAAGTATGGACGCACTCAAAGGTGGGTATCGCTTAGTCAAAGCTTCTACCGTGGAAAGCCTCATTTTCCCAGAGGATTCACTAATCCCTTTCCCGTGATCAAGTGTTTCTTCGGGCGTTATCCTTGCGAGAATGCATAACAGGTATGAAGGCACGCTCATTGCTGCATGAAGCAACATCCGCGAGCAAATACGCCTATGAAGATGGAAGCTTGCACCGTATCTGTCTCACAAATTCAACTGCTTAGCACGCACGGCGATGTCCGGGCGATCAGAATCCTGGAGCGGCTCCCACCCAAGCCAACTTAGCCGTCTACCCCCAGGGGACGGTGAATTGGTACCAAATTCTTCTGGCACGATAAGAACACTGACTACTACATCGATTTGCCCCCGTATTCACTGTATAAGCCGCATCTCATTCAGTAAGCCACTGCGCGAAGGATTGATCAGGCTTATTCACTATCTTTGAAGACCCGAGGGCAGAGCAAATCAACCGCTGGCCAAAGAACGACGACAAAGTGAGCTGAACAACAGAGCTTTTGGCATTGATTAACCTCTTGTGGTATTCGCAATGTACGCTATTCCAGTCCGAGATCGTGGGAGCATGTTGAATGCTACTTTCCCCACAGAATACAGAATAACTTGTGAAGCTAGCGAGTCTGGTATCAGTAAACCGACCTCAGAGCGATGGACTGGTGGTTGTCTTAACCGGAAGCCGATCAGACCGTTAACCTGGACTGTGCTCGCAGCTTTTTGCCACTATGTTACCTCCGACTTTTCTTATTGAATGACAGACGGACGCACGGTTACCACTGGTATAATCAATACCAAAAAAACGTAAAATTGGCGAAGAGTATAAAAAAGTCTTCTTTTTATCAGAAACTAACCTTCCTTTCCCGATTACTCAGTCCAGAAAACTTTGGATCAGATCGAAGATGGGAAAACCTCTCATCGTCCAAGCCCAATTGTTGTGTTCTTTTCTTTTTCGTCATACTACCTTCAAAAAGACACAGCAGATTCGTAAAGGAGTATAAGTATGGAAAAACGCTCCAACGTAATTGAGTGTAGTTCTGAGGGGGCGGGGGGCATTGGCGCGCATCCGTTCCCCTTCCCCAAAAGGACTTCGGCTTAGTCCGTAGGCGACCGAATTCGTCGAGGGGTCGCCCTGCAAAGAAGACATGGTCCACACGAACTCTAACCCTAAATTAGGACAAGGAGATACGAGACGGGCGCAGGGTGCCCCCCCCTGCAAGCTTGACTGCCTTTGCGAGAAAGCCTCCTTAAAATAACTTTTGGACACGGTAGAATCGCTGGATCCGCCCAGTCCACGACCTAGCTGAAGTATTAAAGACTGCGATAAGCTTGGACCTCTTCTCGTCCGGGCGCCTCCCGTCACGCTTCCACTCCATGTCCTTTGCGGACGCTTCATAATGCGTAATGGGTGGGGAGGGGGGGGGGTGTTGGCACGAATTAGCAAGTGTAGTTCGGGATGCCAGTCGTGGGCGACTAAGCCGAGCCATTCTTGGCACGTCTTTTCAGAGGCTCAGAATAAGACAAAACAGCTTGTTGATAAACAGGGGCCACTTCGGTGAGAGAGCCACAAACAGGAGACGTGCATGGTTGCCTACTGTAGATGGCACCCCCCCCCACTACATCTGCTCGGATGGGAGCTAATCTGTCCAGGCGCCCCGACTTCCTCAGCCCCTAGACACATTCCTTTTCCAAAAAAATCACACCAAGGTGCAGTTCGGTTTGGAGAAGGCGTACTCGACTGAGCTTTTACTGCCCACCTTTTGAAAACCTGAACCCCATATCCAAGAATAAGAGAGGGCGTCGCTGCGCATTCCAGATGAACGTTGTGACTGCACTTCTGGTGGGATTTTTAGTTTGAGACAATCATGTCACTTGTGCAGTACGCAAAACGAGGTATCTCGAACGGAAATAAACTATCAAAAATGCATTTCGCGCCATGTTCGAACGAAATACGCGGCCACGCCCACCCTATATCCGGGATACGAGTGTGAAATTCTGTGACCAAGGTGGCTCACTCGTTCAACTACGCAGCTTCACATCAGTTTACAGGTTTACAGATATAGTGTACAGGTTACAGACCAAGGTGAGACCTCTTAGTTAACGTGATCCAAAAAAAGGAACTAGCAAAGGTGAAAAAGGTTCCCTTCAAACCGAACCACCTCGCAGCATTTTACGACAACTTCATTATGTTAGAGAAAATTAAAACAATCAAGCCATATCACCAAACATATTCGGTTATATTTTGGGTACTGCGACCATAGAATAATAGAAGCACATTTTCAATAAAACATTTATTCCTACATTCCAGTAATAACAACCGAAAAATAGAATAGCACAACAAGATGACTCATAACGACTATTGAACAAAAACATTCAACCCCTAGCAAAGCACAGATGTCTTCAATAACAGCATTCTATGGAAATAAAAAAAGAAAAAACAACATTGGAGGCGGGCGGGATAAACCAATAAACAAATTTGAAGAACATCTAAAATGACTGTGAGAAAACCAGGTATACCAAACTAGAACCAATAGGGAACTCATTTGATAAAAACGCCACGAAGGGTCGGCGCTGTCATTTTCGTGCTGCCACCGACCAAGAGGGGGCAGTCCTTCCAAACAGCGTAGCCATCGGGACTCACTTTCAGATCCTCTGCCACGGTTTCCCAAATCTGAAACATCACATTCAAATTTCAAACAGTGACAACAAGGGAGTTGTGCGGGAGGGGCCGTAAGAGGTACCGAGCACACCTCTCTGACGCTTTTTGGGTAACGAGGGGCGGGGCGTTCCGCCTTCTCACCAGTCCATGTTACTCAACAGTCTCACTTTGATGATCACATATAAACCCTTTTCAAGCAGTGAGTGGTACAAGAGAACCAATTTGGTTACAGGGAGTCACTATTCTTCTAGGAGACTTACACAGGCCTCATTGAGTGCCGCTTAATGCCCCCCCCTCACCAAACCTACAGGCCCTTCTACTATTTGTCTGCACCCTCCCAGCGATACAGTGAGTCTGTTACCACAACAGACCTATTCTGAAATAAGCGCAGACGACCAGAGTCATAGCGGCACAGTCTCGCCGCGCGGTGTCCAAATCTCGCCGCGTGGTACCCCAGCGCATAAAATCAGGCGAAACTATGCTCGAAAATTCACAGGGAGATAACAAAAATAAGCAGATCAATAAATAGTACCAGTAGAACGTCAACAAGCATTTATGTGAAAAGACAAGTAAGAGTGCGTTCACATTTTGCACGTTCTTAGCCGCTAGAATCACTCAAAACGCTGCCCCAAAGAAAGAACGCACTATAACTGAGTGTCGAGCGCGGGGTCGCGTAGCTTTTTTATCCTGGATGAATAAATACGCAATGCCCCCCCCCCGGAGTTCTGCAAAATGCTAAAAATTATGGCCACAGTTGGGAAAAATGCACCTGTTATTTTCGCTTCAAATCGGTAAAAGAAGAAACAAGAAAGAGCCACGAATTGCGGACATCTTCTACCTTTTTTTAGGATCTCATGCCACGTCAGGTCGATGAGCATAGGGAGGACATGTTACTGGAGTTCCTGGTTGAGCAGATGAGTCTACCTCCATTATTTCAACCTAAAAAGTATGCATGTTTCCGAAGAGACCACCCATTAAATTATAGTTTTAGAACGGGCGGCATACAATGTCTTAAGCTGCCCGTGAAATTGAGTGCGTGGGACCAGCGTGGGCACACAGCACCCCTCAGTTTTCGCCTGAGCAGCACCTTGTCACAGGAGCAAAAAAAATGGCGTCGCTCTCGTTCCCTGGCTTCATCCCGAACTTCCTTCCACGGTTTGGCGCTCGCGACCAACACATTTAATTTTTGGGGTACTGTATACAGTCTGTCTTCCTAAACTTATAATCCTGTACTGTAACGAATTACCTTTTCTGGCGATGATGCGCACATCACCATGGCTCTCGATTCAATTCCACGCATCTTCGCAGGTTTCAAATTACATAACACTACGACGAGACGATTTTGCATCTGAAAAATTTCTAGACCCACTTCAATAACCTGACTGCTCGCGTAAAATACACTGGACAATGCACAAATGCACAAAATACACAAAACAAGATATACCAGTGGGTCCCTGGAGAAACTTTTCGGGACTGGCAAAAAAAGGGGGAGGGGGACCAGGAAAACGCGTCATCGGCATGTCCCTTCCCGGCTCTTTCATGGCCATGGGAGGTGAAAGGATCTTTCATGGCCATGGAAGGTGGAAAGGAGAGAGGTTTGTCGATGGCGCCATTTCCTGTATTTAGCCCTCTGAACGTTTCGCGGTAGGTAAGTTTCTGAAATCTGCGCGGGCAGTCGCTCAAAACGCTGACGCAAAGCACCTTACCGATGATTTTTTTGATAGATTTTTGTGGAAAAAGTTATAGAATCTCAGCACAAATGATATGAGCACAGCGAGGCGACCCTTCTCTCCCCCCCCCCCTCAGGAAAAACTGACTAACCTGGTCAAGTGGAACATGCTTAACCAGTCCAGATACGACCGTTCTTGGTGCAGGTTCTCCTACGTCAATCTGTTCAACGTACAGAGCGTCCGCATCGGGATGCTTTTCACATTGCACAATACGACCAACTCGAAGATCGAGGCGTCCCACGTCAATCTGATCATCAGCAGCTGCATCTAAAATACATCTTCCTGCTATTTCTATGACAAGAACAAGTCAGGCGCAGATCGGCTTGGAGGGGCATTTTGCTGATTCCCATCGACAACTACTGATGCATCCTGTGAAAGCATGTAAACTGTAAAGGTATGCAATGACAAGAACTGCAGTGACACTTGACAAGACTCCACAGGTCGTACCACGTGTGACATGTAATTCAACTAGAACCCGCAAAGGAAACTAGCAGAGGTGCAGCATGCCCCTCCAAGGCGAACAGCGCCCAAAACTCATATGTACGCATGAATCAGGACTCACTATCGGCTTTCTTGTTACCACCAGAGCTCGCTTGCTTCTTTTCTCCACCAGATTTCTCCTTTTTGGACGGCTTTTCGGGACTTTCACTTTTCACGCTCGTCACAGAGGCAGTCGTCGCAGGCTCTGCTTTCTCCACGGTCTTGGCTAACTGCGGAATCGCAACTTGTTTAACTATAACACTGTCGTTTCTGGTGATTCATTCCAAATGATGTTGAGAAATCGTCCGGAAATGTTGGCGGGCGGAGCTAGGGAACGAAGCGCACTCCCTTCTTACTCACAGACTCCTCTCCTCGTCACAATGTTCTTGCCATACATCACGGAGAAGGAACACTATGACGTCGTCCCTCGTCTTCGCCCCCTCATCCGCCCCCAACATTCCCGGACGAGGTCTCTGAAGCATCTTCTCACTTCCAGCAGCTGTTTCAGCCTCAATCAATTGACGTTTGACAGATTCAACTTCTTTTTCGAGTTTCGAAATGTTAGCA